CACACAAGTGGCCTTACTTTTGGGAAATAACAGACACAGAATTCCTGCTCCATTTCAGGAAAACTCTCCATAGATATCATTGATGGTACATGTACCCAAATCTACTCTCATCTAATATAATCATGAGAAGCACTAGATAGAGATGGTGGTTATGCTGAAAATGAAAGTTGTCTGAAATATTCATCGACTTGCAAACCCAGTCGTATTTAGAATTTCAGTAAGCTGGGAATGCTGAGCTGAATGATCCTTTAAGCAAGTTTTAAGCAAAAGAAATTTGAGTCCTTTCTGAAGAGAGAGAAGGCAGGAAGCAAATTAGAGAATAATATATTAAAAACAATGCAAGGTTTTCCTTGAGCAGTTCTTGCATCCCATTTATGGGCATGAAAGGTCAAGTGACTGACATTTTGCAGATGCTGCCCTGTATCTCACATTTGTAGAAGATGGTAAAAAGGAAGTCCCATCTTTGATCATGCTACAAGGCTACAAGATTATTTGCACACAACTCAGGCTTGGATTTTTAGCTGCTTTTCCTGAAGCTCCATACAGGTCAAGCATGTACAAGCAGAACTGAGCAATATTTTTCCAAGAACTGCTGGTGCTGTGAGACACATTGGTTCTGAAAACAAACAAATTCTGAAACTCAACAAGGAATTCAGGAAGAAAGCTTGAGACTGATTTAGCAAGGGAACTGGTCAATGATTCTACAGGAGGAGAACTAAAAGCAAAACCCAACAGACTGATTACCATGCTACAGTCAGGGAGAGATAAGCTGGGTGACCAGACTAGCTAAGAGGATACAGGTCATAACAGAAGGACAAATAAAATCTGAAAAGCTTTCTGAACAGACCACCCAGCTAAACAAAGTGGAAGAAGGAACTAAGTGGGATGGAGATAAGGGCTGAAACTAAGCCAGACACTGCTGGAAGCAGGGAGAAGTTGTTTCTTCTACAGGGCATCCTGTCCCAGATCCTGCAGCAGAGCCCAGGTTTCTGCACATGAGGTTCCTCAGGCCCAGCCTATAAAGTGAAACACTGTTCAGTCGTGTTTAGGAGGATGATAGAACCTTATTACAAAAATGTCTGGGGGATTGTGAACAAAATGGAGTTTCCTCATGGGCCATTTTAGGATCAAGTCAAGACAACATCAACTACTCTCACAGTAAAAGCAGTACAGCACACAGAGGACTCCCACTCCCTCCCACTCCCAACTGATGGCCAGGAGGAACTATCAGAAGAAAACAAAGGTAAGATTTGCTGCACTTTGGATATCCATTATTCAAATCACCTGTATCCTCCTCTGCTTTGTGTGTAGTTGTGCTGTCTTGTGGGATTTCAACAAATGCAAATCTTATCAATCCCTTAAACAAAAATAAGTAATAGCATCAAGATTTTCTTCAAAAACTTATTTTTGACTATTCAAAAGATAACACTATGCAAAATCTTTTCTGTTCAATGACCAGTTTGGGGAACTGGAAGACAACAACATGATGGGGTCTATGTCAAAGGAAGCTGACAGTTGCTTTCCTTGGAAAGAATGTAATGTGACTTTACAGTTTAAAAATAGGTATATAATTTTTAATACACCATTTAAAGCGATGTAATTTCTATTTTTAACCCATCTAACTATATATAGAGATAGTAAAGATATATATAAATACACTCCCACATAAATATGTATAATTGCATAACAACATGACACGGAGAAGCAAGGTCAACTAAAACCTGCAACTGAAACCTCAATCTCTACACTCTGTAGCATCAGAACTATTTGTGCTATGAAGACTGGGAAGCTCGTTTGAAAATCCATAACAACATGATGACAAATTGAAGTAAAAATAGTAACAAACTGCATTTGAGAGTAATAAGTCAACAACTTTTAACCTTATAATAAAACTAAACATGGTTTTATCCCCTAAGATATTTGGCCGGGTCCATGAACTGTCGATGCTGTACACGATTCCACTTTAATATAACATACAGCTTGAAGGCTCATTTAGTAAGCAAATTCTGTACATTCAGATCCCAATATCCCAGAAATATTTATGACCCCTATTAAGGTACAGATCACTGAGATAGATGACAGTTTAATGAGGACACTCTCATAGGAATATAACAGCAGCTGTACTGAATCAAACCAGAAGCACAATATACTGCATCTGGTCACTGTAGCCTACAGAAGATACACAAAAAAAAAAGGGGGGGGGAAGTTAAAAAACCACCAAAAAGCAATGAAAAGGAGAAAATGATTTCCTATATTACAATGATGTGATTCTATACAGTGGACTATCTTAAATAATTATTTTTAGAAGGTCTTTAGATAGACCCTATTTTTACATCTGTCTTCTGTCAGTACAATGGTAGTGAGTTTCTCTATTCAAGTATGCCACAGG